AATAATATATGTGTGTGTGTGTGTGTGTGTGTGTGTGTGTGTGTGTGTGTGTGTGTGTGTGTGTGTGTGTGTGTGTGTAAAATTATATATGTATAATTTTTAATTTATTTTTATTAAATAAAATTTGTAATGATTAAACGATATTGTATTTTATTAATTTAATATACAAACTTCCGAAATTACATAAATTTTATAGAAAGGAAAACTACGGTTTATTCTATCTGCTTCAACATGTCTTTTTACTTTCTTATCTCTTTACGTCGCAGGAACGATTTCTTTGTAGAGTTTTAGAAACGTAATGAGATTTACCCCGTATCTTAATGGATCACTATAATTTTCTTTTAGACAACGTTGCACTATAACAGAAATAAAGAAAAATGTGATAATGAAAACGAAACGACAAAAATTTTAAATGTAACTTCCTTTATTTGTATTGTGCATGCAAATTAGCTTAAATTTTTAAAAATTTTCATGAATTTTATTAAAAATTATTTTATTAAAAATATGTAAGTATGTAAATATGTAAATATGTAAAATATGTAATATATAAAATATTAAAAAAGATTGTATTTTTTTTCAATTACGTAATTTTCTATATATTACTTATGGAAACGCGAATATTTTTTAAATTTGTGAATAAATTTATATTGATTTTTTGTTGAATGTAAAATAGCCTGTACAATTATACAACTCTGAATAATGTTTTTTAGTTATATTTTAATTCATGAAATATGTTCACAAGTTTCATACAAGTAATTTTGTTATATTTTTAACTAGAGAATATTTCGTTTTCATAAAGCAAATTTCTTTTTATCATATGACGAAAATATTTGTTTTAGTGATCGCGTAAAAATGTATAATTTGTGATCGGATAAAAAATATATAATTTGAAGATCAAGTTTGTTTTCATTATTGTTATTTTGTCTTGTAAAATGTATATAGAACACTCTTCTATTTTTGTTTTCTCATTTCTTTGATGAAATGTGTCTTTAAATCCTCAGATTATGGATTATAAGTTCATATGAATATCCTTGATTTAAGCTCATATGAATATCGATATACATGTTATACGCTGTTTTTTGTTCGCAAAGGATATGCTTATTCTTCGATAATCCAGAGAATATATATTTATATATGATTCTTGCGCATAAATTGAAAAAAAAAATTTCTAATTTCTTAATATATAACGCTTAATAAAGTAATCGGATTAATTTATATTATAGGCTATATTAAAGCAAATCATTCATTTCATATTTGCAGAAGACATAGGCGATCTTCAAGGTGGCGATTCTTCGGATTATACAGACAACGCTTTAGAGAATCTGATGCGAGCAACCCAAAAGTGAGTGGATTATTTTACTTGTCAATTCCAGTTTCATTTTCCAACAATCCTCTTCAACGAGAAGTCTTTCTCATAGAATATATCTTTTCCTGCTTCCCATAATTCCATTCTTTCTGACTGACTGATTGCGAAAATTGTATGCATGTCAATGTAGAAAATTAGTAATATTTTGTTTATGGTAATAATTATTAA